GAAGGTCGGGGTTGAAAATCCCAGGAATCCCTGGCATCCCAAGGGAATCACAGGGCTTCGTTGCTTTGCATCACAGAAATCCCAGGAATCCCAGTGACATTCAAGGTTTGCGCATCACTGGCGTCGCGAACCTGGTGGTTTCATTGAGATGCCTGGGATTCGGAGCCCTGCGCCTCCTGGGGATCCCAAGGCTGGTTTGGCTCCAGGGCTTGAAATCACAGGAATCCCAGGAGTCCCAGTGACATCACAGGGCTTCGTTGATTAGCATCCCAGAAACCCACGGAGCCCCAGTGAAATCATAAGGTTTGCGCATCACCGACGTCGCGAACCTTTTGATTTTATTGGGATTCCTGGGGTTCTGAGCCCTGGACCGCCTGGGGATCCCAATGTTGGTTCTGCTCCAGGGTATGAAATCTCAGGAATCCAAAGAATCGTAGTGGAATCACAACATTTCGTTGATTATCATTTCAGAAATTTCAGGAACCCCAGTGAAGTCGCAGGGCTTGCGCATCACCGACGTCTCGAATCTTTTGATTTCGTAGGGATTTCTTGGGTTCTGAGCCCTGGACTTCCTGGGGATCCGAAGTTCGGTTTTGCCCCAGGGTGTGAGCATTCCAGGAATCGCAATAATCTTGGTGAAGTCACAGGTTTTTTCTTCTTCTGCACCCCGAGGTCCCAGGAATCCCATTGGGGTAATAGGGTTTGCGCATCACCGACGTCTCGAACCTAGTGATTTCATTGGGTTTTTCTGATTCTGGGCCATGGATTTCCCGGGAACCCATTTTTTTGCTTTTTCAATATATGTATGTATGTATATATATATATAAGGGTATGAAATATTAGGAATCCCAGGAATCCCCATGAAACCACAGGGTTTCGTTGATTATCATCTTAGAAGTCTAAGAAATCCTAGTGACACAAGGTTTGCGCACCACCGACGTCGCGAACCCTGTGGTTTCAGTGGGGTCCGTGGGATTCTGACCCCTGACCCTCCTGGGGATCCCAAGGTTGGTTTTGCTTCAGGGTATGCAATCCCAGGAATCCTAAGAATCCCGGTGAAATCGCAGGGTCTTGTTGAGTAGCATTGCGGAAGTCCCATGCGTCGTCGGAAAATCAAAGGGTTGGCTGACTTCTCGTGTTCAGGATGGCTCACACGCTGGTTCCCTCATGTAGAGGAAGCAAACGTTTGCATCTGTCACGTGTGCGCTTGTGGAAAATGTGCCGCTAGCGGATGCGGGGGAAGGTTTCAGCGAAGAAGAACAAGAGGCGCGGAGAGGGGAGAGATGCAGGAGGGGGGCGGCACGACTTCAGCCTCGTGGAAAATAAGAAGGCGTACAATGGGTGTTGGGTGGAGGCTGTCTACACACATATACATATATATATATATATATGTACAAACAACTTATATTTACATAATTGTGCACAGGACTACATGCGTACACCCATACAACCACACGTACATTCATACACAAACACGTACATACATACATACATACAGCCATGTTCACACCCACGCATACATACATACATACATGCCCACACACCGGCACATCCATGCATACATTCATACATACATGTAAACACCCATACATTCATACATACACGCATACATACATATCCACATACATACACCCTAATGCACCTGTACATTTGCATATGCGAATGTTTATGCATCGACACACATGTATATACACAAACTTGTTGGTACATACATATCGAAGTTTGTTTGTGCGTTTGTATGCTTGTATGCAGGTGTGTATGTATGTGTGTGTGTGTGTGTATGTATGTATGTATGTATGTATGTATGTATGTATGTATGTATGTATGTGTGTATGTACATGTGTATGCATGTATGTACGAATGTATATATGTATGCATGTACGCATGCGTGTAGGTATGTATGCAGGTATGTGTGCATATGCGTGTGTTTGTGTGTCTGCACGCCGTTTTTTTACGCATATTGAACATATATTAGTCGTCAAGTGTATCACGTATGCATGCATGCATGCGCGTACGTATGTATGCATGCATGTGTGTGTATCCATGTATGTATGCATGTCAGCCTTTCTGCCTGTCTGCCTGTCCGTATGTCTGTTTGTCTGTCTTTCTGCTTGTACGCATCTTTGCATATTGAAGCATACGTGTTTGTATGTTTACACACATTTTTCGATACATTCATCTATACAGGTATGTATATGCGTTTTATGCATATATGTGTATATGCAGATGTGTATATGTATATGTATATGTGAATCTATATTTGCATATGTATATGTATTTGAATATGTGTATGTATATGTATATGTATTTGCAAACATACATATGTATACGTATACGTATACGTATACGTATACGTATACGTATAGGTATAGGTAAATGTATATGTATATGTATATGTACATATATGCATAGATATATGTGTGCATATTCATATACATGTGTTTATATGTATATGTATACGTGTATGTATGTGTATATGTATTTGTACATGTATATGTAGCTGTATATGTACATGTACATGTACATGTACATGTATACGTATATGTATATGTATAGGTATAGGCATTTGTATATGTATATGTGTACATGTATACGTATATGTATATCTATATGTATATATATGTATATGTATATGTACATGTATGTGTATATGTATATGTATATGTATATGTATATGTATATGTTTATGTACATGTACATGTACATGTACATGTATATGTTTATGTATATATATACGTATATGCAAATTTATAGTTATAGGTCTATCTATATGTATGTGTATATCTATGTGTGCATATATACACATATATACGCACGCATGCACACTTCCGTTTACGTGTTTTTTTATGTACACTTGTGCACGTATGTATATACGTACATGTTGGGTCCCGCACGCGCCATTACCCCCTTTCTCTTGGAATCTGGCAAGAGGAAAGAGGCGGTTCAGGTGCGTTTGCCGGCCGTGGAGGCGGAGGTTCGGAGTCGGTTGGTTCGTGCGTCGGAGACGGATGCTGTTGAGTACTAGGTGTAGTGTTGTATTCGGAGGGCTTGGAGTAGAAAGTTATTTTCAAGGTTGCCTTGGGGAGGCAGCGCTTCTGAAGTGTCCCTGGAGGCCCCGCTTGAAGGTTTATGGAGAGCCCCATGAGGGTTCCTGAAAGGGTCCGCGTAGAAAGGTCATGGAAGCCCTCTGGCGAGCGCCTTAAGTTGACCTGGAGGGCCCTTGGATGGTCTCTGGTTGGGCCCTGCAAGGTACCCGGGGAGCTTTCAGGGTCTCTGGAGAACCCCACTCACGGTCCCTGGAAGGCCGCTGGAAAGACCTTGAGGGTTTGTGGACGGCTCCTGTCGGCATAGTGGAGGGCCCTTGACCGTCTGGCCCTTTGAGGCGCTTTTGAAGCGTCCTTTCGGGGTTTCTGGGGGGTGTTTCTGTTGCCCTCTGTCTGGGCCATAGCGGGCGTTATGTCCCCTCTCCCCTCTCGCCCCTCTCCCTCTCCCTCCCCCCCTCCTGCCCCCTCCATAATAGCGACTCCTCCCCCCCCCAAGTCTGTCCCAGCCCTGCCGCAGTGGGTCCCCCTCACCCCCCTTCCCCTGCTATAGCGCCCGATGTCACCGCGAGCGAAAGCTGCTGCTTTCCTGGGGAGAGAGTCCCTGGTGGTGGACATGGGAGTCTCTGGAGGGCTGCTGACCCCGCAAGGATTGCTGGGATGCCCTTGGAAGATCCCTCGGTGTGTCTGGCGGGCTGCCTCAGGGGCTCTGACGGCCCCTCGAGGGCTTCTGGAAGGACCCAGGAAGGCTGCTCTCAGGGTCTCCGGAGGGTCCCCTGCGTGTTTCTGGAAGGGCATGCTGAGGACTCTTTAAATATGTCTGGAAGGCCCCTGGAAGGCCCCCCCTCCCCGGGGGCCCTTCGGGCTCGTTGCGGCGCCCTCCAGAGGCCGACTACGGAGGCTTTGGACTTCTGCAGGGAGGCTTGAAGTGTTTAAGAAAGAGCATACAGGCTTTTAACGCAGCTCAGAGCCTTTCTAAGTGGCCCTTCGGGCGCCATTAAACAGTTCCTCAAGGGCTTTTATGAGACTTCAGTGGTCCTGCAGGGCCTTGAGGGGCAAAAGACTCTCAACAAGGCCCCGCGCGCCACCGATGAAGGCAACGGCGGATCAGAGCCCCCACAACTCGTAGATTTTGGTTCCCAGAACTTCAGGTTTGGCTGTCGACTCCAGGAAAAAACGGGAGTGAAGAACTCGCCAACGCGGAGGGACATCTATCTTACACGTCTGGGAGCCCCACGGGGTCGGCGAAATTCGCAGACGGGCCGAAGGTCACCCTCAGCCGTCGCGCCGCCTGCTCCCCCCCCGCAGTGGAAGTGCAGTTTGCGCAGGGATTCCTGATTCGTAAATCTTGGCCTCCCAGATGGGGTCAGAGCAGTCGGGGTCGGAGTCTCACTCCGCATCGCCGAAACATGGTCGAGAAAACATGGTCGAAAAATCATGGTTCGATCGCATCAGTACCCAAATAATGTTCGAGCATGGTCGAGAACAGTCGACACGTCGTCCTCTGATTATTTATGGACTACTTTGGAATAATCTTCCTGTAGAGGGACGGGCCCGACTTGAATCCAACCCCCTCGTACGCGGACGCCCGTCGGGAGGCCTCTCCCCTGGCGCGGTGGGGGCCCCGTGTGGCGAGGGCGTGTCCCACAGTTGGGGCTTTTTCCGGGGCTCCTTGGAGGAGGGGGAGGGGGAGGGGGTAAGACGCGTGAGGGGCTGGCTAACACGGGCGACGATGCGGCAGGAGGGACACGGGAGGAGAGTACGACTGACAAGCGGGTGCGGTGCTGCGGAGAGGAGGCTGGAGGAGAGGGGGCGCGGAGCCAGCGCTCCAGAGCTTGACAAAGGAATATGACCCATATCATCAGTGGGAGGGGGAGGGGCGGAGGAGGAGGAGGAGGAGGAGGAGGAGGAGGAGGAGGAGGAGAAGGAGGAGGAGGAGGAGGAAGAGGAGGAGGAGGAGGCTCCAGAGATCTCGGATCAATAGTCGTGACAGACTTACCTTTTCACACACACAACGTATCCGTTTCACCCTTTGCGCATTCATTTCCAGCTGGAAGCTGAGGCAATCTGCCTGGTATGACGGTTCTTCTCCGAGCCGTGGTCGTAACCGTGCTGCTACGGGCGGCTGCTGCCGTACATATCGTAGAGGACGGGGTCAGGGACGGGCCCGAGGTCGTTGGAGGGGAGATTTCCGATGTCTTTCGCAAGATCATGGAGGCCAACACCAACGCAGTGCAGAAGCGCCGTGTAGAGGAGGCGGCGAAGAATGCCGCAGCGGCAACGGCTGCGGCGAATGCCAAGATCGCAGAGGAGGCGTCGAGGGTTTCCGCAGAAGCCAAGGCTGCCCAGAAGGCTGCCGCGGCGGCCACGGCAGCAGCGGAGGCGGCGAAGGCTGCTGCGGATGCCGAGGAGACCGAGAAGGCGGCGAAGAATGCCGAATCGGCGAAGACTGCCGCAGACGCCAGGCGAGCCTTCTTTGGATTGTTTTCTTCATGCTATCGTTGAGTCGGGCATGTCCCTCTGATGTAGGAACATTCAAAATGATCAACAATAGTATGGGAACGATTTTTCGTTTATTTTGGACTTATGTTTGAATCTGTGTTTTGACGATTTTGCATCTTCCCTCTGAAATCCGCCTGTAGGGGGATATTCCCGACCTATTCCTGTCGGCGGAGGCCCTCTGCCCCAGGGCTGGACCTCAGCGCTGTTTTTTTGCTGGACTTCGGCAGTGTTCTGTTTTTCGCCTTGGCAGGGAGGCACGGGAGAGCAGGCAGAGCAAGCCGAAAGAAACAACACGAAGCCAACACGAAAAGCAACGAGAAAACTTTGGCAGTGCTTTGTTTGTCGTTCTGGCAGGGAGGTACAGGAAGACAGGTCGAGCAGAACGAAACACAAAACGAGCACAAAACGAAAAACAGCGTTCGGGTCCAGCCCTGGCACAGCCCTGCGCAGCCGTGCACAGCCCTGGCGCTGCCGCGCCCCCGCACAGCCTCCGCGCGCCGTTCTGCACTGTCCTGCACTGCCCCCCTGCCTGCCCCCGGCACAGCCCTCTGGCGCAGCCTCGCGCAGCTCCTGCATTATGACCCAAATCATTAGCCTTCAGTCGGGAGTGTCCCCTCTACAGGAGGAGTATCCAAAAGTGGCCAAGAATAGTCCGGGGACGATTTTTTGAGGTTTTGTTGGGGCATTTTTGGAGTATTTTGCATGGTCTGCCCCCCGTCCCCCCCCCCCGGTGGAGAAGTTTGGCGCCGGACCTTTGCCTGGTATCTGCTCCAAGCCGTCGGGCGAAAAGCACAGGGGGCTCCGCTGCCCCCCTCCCCCGGGGAGGTGCAGGCCGCAGGTCGGGCGCAGCCTGGGCGCCCCTCCTCTGCCCTGCGTCCTCGGGGGGACCACGAGGGGAAGGGCTCTGGTCTACGCGCCCCAGATGGGCCTTCCTCCTCCTCCTCCTCCCTCCTCCCCCTCCTCCTCCTCCTCCCTCCTCCTCCTCCTCCTCCTCCTCCTCCTCCTCCTCCTCCTCCTCCTCCTCCTCCTCCTCCTCCTCCTCCTCCTCCTCCTCCTCCTCCTCCTCCTCCTCCTCCTCCTCCTCCCCCTCCTCCTCCTCCTCGTCCTCCTCCTCCTCCTCCTGCCCTGCCTCTCTCCCCTGGGTCTGGGCGTGCCGCCCGGGGAGTGGTCCGCCCATGCCTCCCAGCTGGGGTCGGAGCAGGCGGGGCCGGAGGATCGCGCCGCACCGCCGATGCATCGACGGTGCGGCTCGATGCGGAGCCCGATCTTCTCCACGCCGACGTCGCCGATGCGTCGCCGACGTCGGCGGTGCATCGACGACGCATCGCCGATGCACTGTCGATGCGGCGCGATCCTCCGACCCCATGTGCTCGGACCCCATCTGGGCGGCGCCTTCTGCCCTGCGTCCTCCTGGGGGGGCCACGGGGAGATGGGCTCCGGGGTTGAGTCGGGCGCGTCCCTCTGCAGGCGGAGTGCAGGGTGCCCCGGGTTTTTTGTGGGTTTCGATGGTTTTGCTGTGGAAAGGGTGACGTCCCCACGCCAAACATCAAGGGACGTCCTGGTGTCTCAGGGTTGGGTTTGTCGTGGAAGGTTTCTTGTGGTCGGGCCTCCACTGTATGAACTACAAATTGAGGCTGATAGACCTCCTCCCCTGACACGTCGATTAGCGAATCGGCCGTTTTCGGTTCGCGAGAGGGCGTCGCGGCCGTGATTTTTGAGGGTCCAGGTCCGTCGGTTTCGGTCGCAGGCCGTTTTCACGAAAGGGTGGTTCACTAAAGGGAGGGTTGTGAACCGCCGAAAAATACTCAAGTAATAGTCCAGCGACGATTTTTCCAGCATTTCGAGAGTTTTTGAGATGTTCCGACCATTTTTCATTGTTCGTCCAACATCCGCCTGCAGGAGGACATGCCCGACCTGGCTCTGGGGCGCCGGGCGTGACCGCAACAAGAAGCCAAACGTCCGGCCATCCTGTGACTTAGCATCGCTCGGACGTGTGCATTTTTTCTTCGGCGAGGACCATCGAGGAGCATTCTTGATCACTTGACGAAAAAAACATGCACGAAACCGAAAAAAACACAGGGAATTGACGTCCGAGCGATGGCCAGGTGAGATCCTTGGCAATACCTGCGCAGCCCTGCGCAGCCCTTGCGCAGCCCAGGGCTGGGCCTGAACGCTGTCTTGCGGGCCTCGGCCGTGCTTTGTTTTTCGCTCTGGCAGGGAGGTACCGGAGACCAGGTCGACTCCGACGGTAGGACCCCGCAGGAGAATCTGTTTAACTTGGCTGGGGATCTCCTCCTGCCCCCTCCCTTCTCCCACCTACTCCTGCCTCCTCCTTTTCCTGCCCGCTCCTCCTCCTGCCTCAACCCCTGCCTCCTCCTCCTCTTGCCTCCTCCACCTCCTCCTCCTACTCCTTTTCCTCCTCCTTTTCCTTCTCCTCGTCCTCCTCCTCGTCCTCCTCCTCCTCCTCCTCCTCCTCATCAGCATCATCATCAACATCAGCATCATCAGCATCATCAGCATCATCATCATCATCCTCATCCTCTCCTCATCATCCTCATCATCCTCATCCTCATCCTCATCATCATCATCATCATCATCATCATCATCATCATCATCATCATCATCATCATCATCATCATCATCATCAGCATCATCATCATCATCCTCATCATCATCATCATCATCATCATCATCACCATCACATCACCATCACCATCACCATCATCATCATCATCGTCGTCATCATCATCATCATCATCATCATCATCATCATCACCATCATCATCATCATCATCATCATCATCATCATCATCATCATCATCATCATCATCATCATCATCATCATCATCATCATCATCATCATCATCATCATCATCATCATCATCATCATCATCATCATCATCATCATCATCATCATCATCATCATCATCATCATCATCATCATCATCATCATCATCATCATCATCATCATCATCATCATCATCATCATCATCATCATCATCATCATCATCATCATCATCATCTCCTCTCCCTCCTCCTCTCCTTCTCCCTCCTCCGCCTCCTCCTCGTCTCCATCTTTCTCCCCCTCCTCCTCCTCCTCCTTCTCCTCCTTCTCCTGCCTCCTCCTTGGGCCTCCTGCCTCCTCCTGGGGCCTCCTGTGGCCTCGTAGGGCCTCCTGGAGCCTTCTTGGCCTCTCGGGACTTCCTGGGGCCTCCTAGGGCATTCCTCCTCCTCCTCCTCCTCCTCGTCGTCCTGTTCCCCCTCTGCCTCCTCCTCCGCTTCCTCCTTTTCTTTCTCGTCCTGCATCCTCAGTGAAAGGGTGCCAGGGAGAGCGGGAGCGAGCGTAGCAGCGTGCTTGCGCCCGCTGCAGCCTGTGCCCGCCGCAGCCTTTGGCTTACAGATGAAGGCGGGGATCCGCCGAACTGTCGACAGAGAGTGAAGGTATCAATCTTCGATCAGCACGCTTCCGCATGGCAATGGTGACGATCATTCCTCTTGTGCGTGCTGCCTGGCCGTTCGGCCACCTGGGGGAGGAGGAGAGCACGAGAGGTCTTTCGACTCTGGTAGCGGAGCCGGTGGGCTCTGCAGGGTCGGCTGCAAGTCCGGCCGGCTCTGCGTGCGACGTGGGCGGCGAGGGGCCGCAGCGTGGCGACCACGGCAATGGGGTCGAGTCGAGCTCAAGGCGTTGTACCTGCTGTGCTACGACCGCTCCATGTGCGGCCTGCCTGGCGCAGGCCACAATCTCATCAAGTACTGGATGCTCTTCCTCTTCGACGAGTTCGACGCCGAGCAAGATTGGGTTGCTCATCGGCCTTCTCGTCATCCTGATCAATGTAGCGGGCTCGACAGAGCCACCGGGCCTCAGGCCCATGACGCCGCAGCGCGGCCAGCGCATCGGCGAGTCAAGGTTACCTGCACCTCAGTGGGGACAGCATCACGAGCAGAACGTACAGGGTCTGCCGGCGGCAGAGCTGGCGCAGCAGAGCACATCCAAGGTCCCGCCGTTCTGGGCTCCGTACCTCGAGCAGCGCGGGTACCCCTTCAGGCTGTGGGTCCAGGACGTGATGCTGTGGTGCGCGGCGACGGAGCTGCAACAACACCAGCGCGGCCCAGCAATCGTCCAGCGGCTCGGCGGCACGGCGAGGGACCTCTGCCGCGAGGTGCCGGTCGAGGCCATCGCTCACGGCAGGTTCGACCAGCTCGGCAACCTGGTCGAGGACGGGGTGCAGATGCTGATCACGGGACTCAGGCGGCGCTTCGGCCCGCTCGATGTCCAGTCCTCGATCAGCACCATCGTCGAGCTGCTTACATTCCGCAGGCAGGAGCGGGAGAGCGTCGACGACGCGATCACGCGCTTCGAGGCGCTGCGCGCCCGAGTGGCGCAGCTGGACGACCCGCTCGTGCTGCCGACGCCGGTGCTCTCGCTGCTGTTCTTGGAGGCCCTGCATGTGCCCAAGGCTGTGTACCCCCTGGTGCTGCAGTCCAACGGCGGCCAGCTGCCATTGACGATCGACCAGCTGAACAGCGTGATCGGGATGGTGCGGCAGCAGGGCCACTTTGCGGAGCACACTCATGCAGGACCTCAGAACTTGTCCGAAGGGTACCGCGGCAAAGGATATCAAGGTCATCATTGGTTCACGGGCGAGAATGACAGCGGCGCCAACACCTGGAACGACACGGCCGCATACATGTATGGTCAGAGCGCATCCAGCGCGGCAGGGAACGCTGGATCCGCACCGCAACACTACGTGGTCCAGGACGACGAGGGCTACGACTGTTGCGCCGTCTGCTCGAGCTACTTGTACGAAGACGAGCCCGGGGACGATGGCTCGATGACCGACGACGATGACTTGGACACTTCCCAGTTCACTCAGGAGGAACTACAGGAGTATTATGGCGACTCCGAGGGCTGGGACTACGATACCCTGTTACACGAGTACCTGTTCGCGAAGCGTAGGTTTCGCCACTTTGTTCAACGGAACAGCCGCCGCTCTCGTTTCCCGCGCAGCAACTGGTCTCTTCGTATGAACAGCGGCAAGGGCGGCAGCAGCTTCGGACGTGGTCGAAGCCACGGCAAGGGATACCACTTTGGAGGATCGGTGGTGAACCCAGGCTCGCTGGCAGGAGGAAAAGGTAAGAAGAAGAAGGGCGGCAAGCACTACATGGCAGGCACGCCCGGCGCCACCAATCCTCGAGGCAGTGATGGCCGTACCATGCGGTGCCACGAGTGCGACTCGGAGACTCACCTCGTGGCCGCCTGCCCCAAGCGCAAGGGCAAGGGCAAGGGCAAGCACTTCATGTCCTGGAACTCTGGCAGCGCCGCGACGGGGACGCAGCAGGCTGGGGCTCCTGCCGCCGACCCAACGTTGGCCGCCTATGCGCCTGTGCCCGCGCAGCCGCGGACTGGAGCCTTGTCTGGAGTGCTGCGCTGGTTTACCGAGGACGCCCGGGCGCCCGGCCTGCAGATCGACGACCTTGACGAGGACACCTGCCGCGAGGCTCTGAGCTGGGAGACCCTTGACATGCGCGACAACGTCGCGGAGCACGACATATTGACGGAGATCCAGGCCAGCATGCAGGACCGAGCTGCGGAGGATCAGCCTCCGGCGACAGCTGGGCGATCAGCGGCCGTGACCAGCCCGACATGGTTCCCATGGTGGCGAGTTGATCAGTTCGAGAACGCCAGCGGGGAGACCTACTTGGTTCGCACCCGCATGAAGGACAGGAGCGGCGAGGCTCTGCTGGTGGACCCCGGGAGCCCAGGCAACCTTACTGGCGATGAGTGGGGTAACAGGATGGCAGCGCGACAGCAGCAGGCAGGACGTCCACCGCCTGTCCGCACCCCACTCGACCGGGTGCTTGAGGTTGGTGGTGTGGGCTCAGGATCTCAGCAGGCCACGCACGCTCATCGCTATCAACTGGCGCTGCAGGGAGGACAAGCCGCGACCTACGAGGCGCCGGTGCTCCCGAACAGCAGCGTTCCGGCACTGCTCGGGCGAGCATCGCTGCGGGACCAGCGCATACTGCTCGACTGCTTCAACAATCGCATGTACCGCATCGGCCCGGGCGGCTACTCCCTGCAGCTGAGCCCAGGATCATCGCAGTATCATCTGGAAGAGAGCCACGCCGGTCACCTCATGCTGCCCTGCGACCTCTACGACGAGACGGGAACATCGGGGAGTTCGGGACCCACGAGGACGATGGCATTGGCGACCTCGACGACATCAGAGTCGACATCCTTGCCTGCAGCAACCGCACCGACTCCCGCATCCACCAGGACGGCAAGCAAGAAGACCACTACGGCGACGTCATCCGGCAGCGGTGCCGCATCGGACAGCGCCAGCGGGCAGCCCGACGCGGGCAGCCTGCACCTCTGATCGAAGACACCCCATCTCGGTGCTCGGGACGGCGGGGGCACCAGGGAAGTACAGGGGAGACCGCCATCGGCATGGGTGTTCGGCGACTTGCAGAACCTGTGCCAGAACGCGCTGCACGGATGCGGATATGCGGTGGGTCGCAACTGTGATGTTCACAGATTCCTCGGGCAGGAGGATAAGTGGGCGGATTCCTTGCGCCACCAGCAGCCGGAGCTCGTTTGGATCAGCCTGGCTCAGCCGGGCACGTCGCGAGGCACTCGCAACGACAAGCGAGCCAAGCGTTTCGAGTGTAAGATCGCTCGAGCTCAACTTGAAGGGCATCGCTGCTGCATCGTCGAGGCGGACGAGGGCAGCGCGGTGTGGGACATGCCTGACATCCTGGAGCTGCTGGACGACAGAAGGTGGCACTCAGGACGACTACGATGGTGCAATCTCGGGGTTCGTGACGCTCGAGGATCACCAGCAGCTCAGACTACACGCGTTGTCAGCAGCAGCTACTTCGACGACCACGACGCGAAGTGCCGCTGCGGCTGGCCAGCAGGCCGACATGTTACACGAAAGACTGCTGCAGATCGGTTGGACTTCAAGGCCAGAGGGGTATCTGCTCTGGTCAAGCGGATGGTGGCCGCTGGTTGCTTCGACGGCGGCGCGAGATCCGACGCAGCCGACGGATTGTCGCCATCTGCGACAGCTACACCACGCCGTGAGGCCGGGGGTGATTTCCGACCCGGGTCGTCAAGGACGGATCCGACGACTACCGGGCCTCCAGGATCTCGGACAGAGGCCTTGAGAGAAGCCGACGAGGAGCAGTCACGAGCTGAGCGACGTCGACCTGGCCGAGTGTCATTCGCGGACGACGTCGACGAGACAGGCTGCAAGGTGAGCGCGCTGACCGCGAGCTTTCCCACCGAGCAGAGGACGCGCGACAAGGCGCGCAAGGCAGCAGACCCGGAGCGCAAGGTGAAGAAGAGGCCACAGACAGTGGAGCAGGTCTTCGACGACTGCGGCTCCGATTTCACGAAACTCTACGTGGCGAACGACTACGAGCTGGACGAGGTGTGCTACGGCACCGAGCTCAGGGAGGACCAGCACATCGATGAGCAACCGTACACCATGATGTCCGAGTTCTTTGGTATGATTGGCTCGGAGGCGCACCTGAACGAGAAAGACGAGCAGCAGAACTTCTTCAGCTCAGTCAAGGATATGGACACACGCATGAACCTCTACTACGGCCACCTGCAGCACGACGACGTCGCGGAGTTGTGCGGTGGCGCATCTGGAACAACCCGGCTACTCGTGCGACGAGGATATCGGGGCGGTCCCAACTTCGACCTCATTTGCGACTGCAACTTGATGACGCACGAGGGCCAGAGGCAGTTTTGGGAATATCTGTATTATGGCAAGCCTCTTGTCTTACTCATTAGCACGCCCTGTACGAGCTTGAAGGGGTTTTCGGCGCTCAACAGGATCATCAACTACGACGGTTGGCTTCGCAGTCGCAAGACATCAGTGGGGCTGGCCCGCACCGCCGCTGCAGCGGCGTGCACTCAGATGGACGCCGGGCGCCACTTTGTTTCGGAGCAGCCGCTGGGCAGCGACTTCTACAAGCTCGACGACTGGCAATACATCGCCAACAACTATGCGGTGGTGTGGTGCCAAGTCGACCAGTGCATGGCCGGCAAGATCGGGCGGCGAACGGGACTACCGATCAAGAAGTCCTCTGAGTTCTGGGCTTCGGACGAGCGCCTGATCGCCGGACTCAGGAAGTTTCGCTGCGACGGCCAGCACGATCACGCTTTGCTGGCCCATGGTGGCCGAGGACCCCATCCAGAGCGTGACAAGTGGCGACTAGAGAACCCCAAGGATCATGCGGAGTGGGCGATTGGCATCTGCCGGGAGCTGGCAGCGAGCATTTCCCAGATGGTGGAGCGCGTGAGGTATCAGGGACACCACCTCGTTGTGTACGAGTGCTACCCCGCGGCCGCTGTCACGGAGTCTGCGGCCGCAGCCTCTGGAGCAGCAGCAGCCGCAGCACCAGCTTCAGGAGCAGCAGCAGCCGCAGCACCAGCTTCAGGAGCAGCAGCAGCCGCAGCATCATCCTCTGGAGCAGCAGCAGCCGCAGTGCCAGCTTCAGGAGCAGCAGCAGCGGCATCATCAGCAGCAGCGTCTACAGCAGGAGTACCGCGCGCTACGCAGCCGTGTGCTGGATGTCGGCATCATCGGCCGGCTGACCACCCAGCCCATGATCGAGGGGAGACATGCAAGCATAGATTTGTGCCGACGAATCGCGACCTGAAGTGCCCGGCCTGCCGGAGTGGTCGCGCGGCCTCAGACACACGACATACCCGAATGCCTGGAGAATGCCGAGCAGACAGTGTTCTCCCAAGAGCCGTTGGACCTCGAGATCTACGACCGAGACAACCACCAGCCTCTGAGGAGCCGACTGCGAACCAGGCACCGAGCGCCGCGCGAGCCGACGCGCCAGATGCCGAACCTGAACCGCCACTGCCTCCACCTGTGCCTGCGGAGCGTCGACCTCGAGTGGCTCGAGCGACAGCGGCGGCACGGCGACTGCGATCGCGTCTGCCAGCAGCTGGAGAGGCGGAGCCAGACGAGCCATCAGGCGGCGCCTCGGGATCGGCGGACGCCATCGGCGAGGCACCCGTCGCGGAGCAGCCGGCTGCGGCCCCAGCCGCGCCAGCTCGAGGCGTGGATGCGGGGACGCAGGCTCGAGGAAGTGACGAGCCAGGCTGGACCGCGTTTGACCTCGGGCACGCGCTTCGACTGCTGCACAGTCCACACCAGGAAGTCGTTCGGCGCCAGCTTCGACGACTTCATGTTCGATTTTGGCACGCTCCAGCAGCTCGCCTCAGAGAGCTGCTGACCAAGGCCGGCGCTCCGGCCTCTACGCTGGCCCTGGTGAAGGAGATCTGCGACACGTGCCGGGTGTGTAGGCTATGGACGAGACCGGGACCGAAGAGCATGACGATCTCTCGGCTCGCGACGGGTTTCAACGAGATGGTGCAGTGGGACATCCTCTACATCGGCGAACAGATGGTGGCACACATGATCGATGAGGCGACCCGCTGGACGGTGCTGTACATCCTGGAACGCAAGACAGCGATCATGATTATCGCCGGCATTACTCAGGGATGGCTACGTCCTCATGGCCCCATGAAGCTGCTGATTGCCGACATCGAGGGCGGTCTCCACGGTGAGGAAGCGTACCAGTGGCTGGACCGCTGGGGCATTGAGATGAAGGCCAAGGAGGAGGGCTCGCACGCGCAGCTGGTGGAACGTCATCACGACCTAGTGCGCAAGATCATACACCGCGTGCAGGCCCAGCTTGCGGAAGAAGGCATTGTGATGCCGTTGGAGATCGTGATCATGGAGTGTGCCCTCATCAAGAACCTTCTCATCACCGTGGCTGGCTACAGCCCGTACCAGGCGGTGTACGGCCGACTTCCGCCCCTGCTCGCCGAGTTCGAGCCGGTGAGCGACTGCCAGATCGACGATCAATCGGCTGGCATTCCAGGAATCTCCCGACACCATCATCGGCTCCGTGAAGTTGCAATGCAAGCCATGGTGGAGATGACCGCGAAGGACAGGCTGAGGCGCGCACTTCGATCCAAGACGCGTGCCCCGCACGAGGCGCTGCAGTTGGCGGTCGGCGACCAGGTTGACTTCCACCGGCCGCCGAGCACGAAGGAGGAGTCGGGGTGGCGCGGCCCGGCTACCTTGCTGCAGGTCGGACCTCCAGTGCTCATTCGATGGCAGGGCCGAGTATTTCAAGTGCGACCTCAGGACCTTCGGCGAAGCCTCGTCTACTTCGTGATGTTCACGAACAACATCTTCTTTGAGGCAGGATCGCGCGACCCGGTGGCCACCCTCATGAGCTACGCGGACCAGCTGGACAGCAAGGTCGTGCGCGTCGGGTGGCTCTTCGACGCCGGGTGGAAGCGGACCGCGGACAGCCAGAAGCTCAGCGAGTTGGTCCTGGCGGTGTTGCACGTTGCCGCCAGTGGCTTCTACCTGGTGGGGTGCATCGGCGCGCGAGTGGGCAACGGCGTGTCTGTGCTCGAGGGCATGGTCGGATGCGACCACAGCTTCCTGTGGTGGTGGCGGCGCGGACGCCCAGAGCTGTCCTGGTACCACGAGGCGTCTGGATCTGCTCGACTGAAGTTGGCCCCGATATTTGGCAAGGATCACTGGCGGGACGTCAGCTTCGTGCAGTTCATCATGACGGACGACGAGTCTGTTCGCGAACTTCGGCGACGTGAACCCGAGGTTCCGCATCTTGGGGGTCCGTGGTTCGGCAACCTTCCACACGCACGCCGGTATGAACAGCCAGAACGACCTGAACCCAGACCGTTTCAGGAACCGCCAGAGTTTCAGGAGGAAGACTTCGACATGACCTGGCAGGACAAGCCGATATCCGACACGAGCATTCCAAGCGCATCCAGACAGACAAGTGCATCAATGCCAGTGCCCGACACGAGCATATCGAGCGCATCCAGGCAGACGAGTGCAACATCGGATTCAACGAGGAGTCGGAGCAACCGAGGGCACCATCGGCCACGAGGGCCCTCTCCTGCCTCGGCTGCTGCCGACAACATTGTGCCGCCCGTGAAGCCGCCTGTGAAGCCAGGCGGAGGAGCGCGAGAGAGATCGCGATCACGTGATGGCCCGGATCGTGATCATGGGGCCCGAGGTGCAGGTGAGCCAGCGGCGGCAGTTGAGGCCCCTGCACCCCGACACGAGCCAGTGCTCCCGATCAAGAATGATGGTGGCAAAGACGACGACGGCGACTCGGACAGCGACGCGACCCAGGAGTACCTGTTCGCGAGCTGGCAGCACCTGAAGGAGCAGGCCGCTCTGCCTGCTGTTGACATCGAGTGCGCTCAGAGCGACTTCTTCTTTGCAGCCCCGGACGCAGATCATGTGGCAGAAGCAGCAGAGGATGATTCTTCGAATTCCCGACCCGACTGCGTCGAGATCGGCATAGGTGCGCCACTCATGTACTGGGTGCACCCTGAGGTGGAGCACATGCGACGACCTGGGTCAGGGGAGATCTACATCCTGCGCGTCTACAACACGGGCAAGCGCGAGATTGTCGTCGAGCGCGAGATGAACGTGCTCACGCTGGAAGAGGCCCGAGCTCACGAAGTTGAAGTACGGCAGGCCATGAAGGACGAGCTCCAGCGCTGGGCGGAGTTGAAGGCATTCCAGCGTTTCCCGAAGGATCAGGCGACCAACATCATCGACTCCCGCTGGGTGCTCAAGTGGAAGGAGATCGACGGCAAGAAGCAGGTGCGCGCGAGGCTCACGGTGAGAGGCTTCAAGGACATGCAGTCACCGGAGCTGTCCACCTTTGCGGGTACTACGACACGATGGGGACAACGACTGGTGAATCAGGTGACTGCACAGCGCAAGTGGCGATTATTCTCAGCGGACATCAGCCAGGCGTTCTTGCGCGGGCTCACCTTCGAGCAGGTCGCCGCCATGGACGGCGAGGTCAAGCGGAAGGTACAGTTCACGATGCCGCCAGGATCGATTCCAGTCCTCCGGCAGCTGGAGGGCTACGAGGACTACAGCCCTGTGACAGAGGTGTTGTTGCTCCTGCGCTGCGGCTTCGGTCTGAAGGACGCGCCGAGGCTGTGGCAGGTCATGTTGAAGCAAGTGCTGGAGAAGACAGGAGGCAAGGCGCTCATCAGCGACCCGCAGATCTACGTGTACCACGACGCGAAGGGTGAGCTGCAGATGATCATGTCCTCGCACGTGGACGACCTCAAGGGCGGCGGCGAGGACTACCTGCGGGAGAAGGTACTGAGCATGATCGAGAGCGAGTTCGGGAAGCTGAAGCGCCAGTACGACTGCTTTGAGTGCATCGGCATCATGCACGAGCAGGACGCTGTGACCAAGGCCATCTGGACACATCAGCAGCACTACGTTCAGCAGCTGCGACCGCTCCAGGAAGACCAGTATGTGATGGAGAATGAAGATGGCCAGGTGAGCGTGGAGACCCACGCGGCATACATGTCGCTGCTCGGGGGAATCGCATGGATGACGCAGACGATGGCGCCCATTGCAGTGTACGTCAGCTACCTCCAGCGGCAGGCCAAGAAACCGTCAGTCGGAGACATCCGGAAGATCAACAGGCTGCTGAAGTGGATCATGGTGAACTCGAAGCAGCTCGGAGTTCGGTTCATCGAGTTGAACATGACACGAGTGCGGTTGACCGTCGTCAGTGACTCAGCCTTCCACGCCATGGAGTTCGAAGGTTTGGCGATCCGAGGATGTGTGATCATGTTGCTGGAGGCTGACGCCGAGGTGCTTCAAACCGGATCGACGTACAGAATTGTGATGCTTGACTGGTACAGCAGAAAGCAGAACAACGTAGTGAGGTCCACCTACGCCGCCGAGCTGATGGCGTTGTTGGACGCACTTGGCACCGGCACCCTCATGAACGTGGCATTGACCGAGATCAGTGAAGGAGTACGCACAGCGAATGAGATGCGGGTGCGGCAGGAGGCCGGCGACCTAGTATTGAAGATGATCGCGGCCATCGACGCGAAGGCAGTGTTCGACGCCGTCTCCGCCGCCACCATCAAGGTGACCACGGACAAGCGCATGTTCGTGCCGACGCTCGCAGTGCGTGAGCAGATCGACCGCCTCCAGCTGGCGCAGCCCAGCTGGATCGACACAGTGGACATGCTGGCGGACGGGCTGACGAAGGGCGAGCTCGACCGGACGGCCCTCGTGAAGCTGGGCTTCGGCAACGAGTGGCACTTGAGCGGGCTGCAGCCAGTGGCCTTCTCGGTGCGCAGTGTGCTGGAGGGCCGCGCAGAGCGCTCGAATTCCCGACCCGAGTGAAAGGGTGCCAGGGAGAGCGGGAGCGAGCGTAGCAGCGTGCTTGCGCCCGCTGCAGCCTGTGCCCGCCGCAGCCTTTGGCTTACAGATGAAGGCGGGGGTCCGCCGAACTGTCGACAGAGAGTGAATGTATCAATCTTCGATCAGCACGCTTCCGCATGGCAATGGTGACGATCATTCCTCTTGTGCGTGCTGCCTGGCCGTTCGGCCACCTGGGGGAGGAGGAGAGCACCAGAGGTCTTTCGACTTCCTCCTCCTCCTCCTCCTCCTCCTCCTCCTCCTCCTCCTCCTCCTCTTCGTGCGGAACACGACCTGACCCAGGGGAAACGCACGACGTGCGTTCCAGCGGCTACGCGCCGGAGGACGACCCAGAAGAAGCGCGCGCCAGAGGACAACCTGGAGAAAGCACGTGAGGTGCCGCCCCATAGGGAGTGGGCTCCCGCTTGAAACTTCCTCGCAAGTCACCCACAGACGAGGCCCCCGCCTAGTGCTTCCTCCATCGTATTCAGGCCTCAGGAGCCCAAAAGTGGCGACGGTTACAGGAGGCCGATGGCCCGCCTCGGATTCGAACATGAAGTGCGGGCCCCATAGGGAGGGGGCTCCCGCCTGAGACTTCCTCGCATTTCACTCACGGACGAGGCTCCCGCCTGATCCTTCCTCCATAGCCAGGCTTCAGGAGCCCAAAAGTGACGACAAGTACAGGAGGGCGATGACCCGCCTCGGATTCGAATGTGAAATGCGGGTCCCAAAGGGAGGCGCCCGCTTGAGACTTCTTCGCAATTCGCTCACAGATAGGGCTCCACCCTGATAGTTCCTCCATAGTCAGGCCTCAGGAGCCCAAAACTGACGACAATTACAGGAGGCCGATGACCCGCCTCGGATTCGAACATGAAGTGCGGGCCCCCATAGGGAGGGGGCTCCCGCCTGAGACTCCCTCGCACTTCACTGACAGACGAGGCTCCCGCCTGATCCTTCCCCCATAGTCAGGCCTCAGGAGCGCAAAAGTGACGACAATTACAGGAGGCCGATGACCCGCCTCGGATTCGAATGTGAAATGCGGGTCCCAAAGGGAGGCTCCCGCTTGAGACTTCCTCGCAGTTCGCTCACATGTGAGACTCCGCCCTGATACTCCCTCCATAGTGAGGCCCGAGGGGCCCAAAAGTGACGACAAATACAGGAAGCCAATGACCCGCCTCGGATTCGAACGTGAAGTGCGGGCCCCATAGGGAGGGGGCTCCCGCATGAGACTTCCTCGCAATTCATTCACAAACGAAGCTCCCGCCTGGTGCTTTCTCCATAGTCAGGCCTCAGGAACCCCAAAGTGGCAACGGTTACACGAGGCCGATGGCCCGCTTCGGATTCGAACATGAAGTGCGGGCCCCATACGGAGGGGGCTCCCGCTTGAGACTTCCTCGCAATTCATTGTCTGACGCGGCCTCGTCCTGATATTCCGCCATAGCCAGGCCCCAGGCGCCCAAACATGACGACAGTTACAGGAGGCCGATGGCCCGCTTCGGATTCGAACATTTAAACGCGGGCCCCATAGGAGGGGGGCTCCCGCCTGAAACTTCCTCGCAATTCACTCACAGACGGGGCTCCTGCCCGAGACGACACAGGCGAGTGATGATCATAATCATGTGAGCGATGATGACGATGATTGAGATGATGATGATGATGCTGATGATGATGATGCCATGGTGATGACGGTGTGTGTGTGTGAATGATTGAATGCGTGATACTGCGATCGTGTGTGGTGAGTGTGTGATTTAAGGTGGTGGGGTGAATGATGGAGTGTTAATGATTGCGTAATACAGTGATCGTGTGCGGTGAGTGTGTGAGTGATGATGATGGTGCGAATGATTGAATGGGTGAGTGTGCGAACGGATAAGGAGCTGAAGGCGGTATTCTGATGGTGCGTGAATGAGTGAGTGAGTGAACGTGCGAAGGCAGGAAAGAGAGGTGGTGAGGTGACAGGGCTGCGCGGGGTGTTCAGTGAAAACAGGAAGCCCGCCTAGGATGTGGGGGGCAAAACGGACGCACAACGAACAACAGCGTTCAGGTCCAGCCCTGGCACAGCCCTGCGCAGCCATGCGCAGCCCTGGCGCTGCCACGCCCCCGCACAGCCTTTGCGCGCTGTCCTGCACTGTCCTGCACTGGCCCCTGCCTGCCCCCTGGCGCAGCCTCGCGTAGCTCCTGCATCATGAATCAAATCGTTAGCCTTGCGTCGGGCGTGTTCTTCGACAGGAGGAAAATTCCAAAGAAGTCAAAATTGGTCAGGGGACTTTTTTTGTGTGTGTGTGTGTGAGTGTGAGTTAAACTTTTAAATTCTTAGTAATATTAGTATCGTTGTAGTATATACATATATGTACATATATATATACACAGCAGAGTTTTTGTTTTGTACATGTTTACTCGCCCGGCCTAACATTAGCCTTGCGCAGCCCCTGCATTATAATTCGAAGCATTCGCCCCGCGAAGTGCCCGACCGACTGCGGGAAGGTGCGAGTACAGCAAGACAAGTGCTACGGCAGATGGGGACCAATCGTGTGAGGGGTGTGCCAACATGGCGAGGTGGCGGCGTGCGGACTTTGCCGCTGGGCCCTTCGGTGGAGCTCCCTCTGGGGCCGTGCAGCGCGAGGGGTGTGCGCCGAAATTTGGCGGTGCCGCCATGCGGACTTTGCTACCCTTGGGGCCACGAAGCGCGTGATGGGTGCGCCGAACTGAGGCGGTACTGCCATGCGGACTTTGGTATTTGGGCCTTGCTTAGGCTTCGTTGGAGCGCCCCGTGTGGCCACAAAGCGCGTGAGTGGTGTGCCGAAGTGAGGCGGCTCCGTTATGAGGAACTTTGGCATTCGGGTCTTAGTTTGGGCTCCCTATGCGGCCACTACGCGTGTGGGGTGTGTGCCGAAATGAGGCGGCGTCGCCATGCGGACTTTGGCATTTGTCGGCGAGCGAAGGAGAAGGCCTTCTCAGAAGGCGGCGGGGCTTCTCAGTCAGAAGCCCTCGCGCCTTCTCAGAAGTTTTTTGTGTCTTCGGGGACGGCGCGGAAGACTTCTCAGGAGGCCGGGGGACTCCCGATCCTTCTCGGAAAGCCTTCTCCTTCGCCCTTCCCCCCTTTGCTCGCCGCCAAATTTGTGCCGTAATTGGAACCCCCCTGTGGGGCCACGAAGCGTGTGAGGGGTGCGTGTGTGTGCCGGAACGCGCACACGGAGGGCGGAGGCAGGGATGGGAGGAGTCAGGAGGGGGAGGAGGAGGAGAGAGAAGGAGAGAGGAGGACAAGGAGGAGGACAAGGAGGAGGAGGAGGAGGAGGAGCAGGAGGAGGAGGAGGAGGAGCAGGAGGAGGAGGAGGAGGAGGAGGAGGAGGTGAGGAAGGACGCGGGGCGATCCGCACAGTGGAGGCCCATGCCAACAGACGCCCTGCTCGCCTCTAGGGTGCCCGTGGTTTCCTGGGTTTCGGTGGTTTTGCTATGGAAAGCGTGACGTTCCCACACCAACCTTCAACGGACGTCCTGGGGTCTCAGGGTTGGGTTTCTTGTGGACGGTTTCTTGTGGTCGAGCCCCTAGTCACGGGCCTGGAGCCAGACCTCCCCCTCTCCCCTCCCTCCCCTACGCCTCGCCGGAACTGGGGTGTGCAAAATGCTCACCAGGGCGGCGGAGGAAGCGGCGAAGGCTTTCGCGGAGGCCAAGGCTGCCGAGAAGGCTGCCGAGGAGACCAAGGCAGCAGAGGACAAGGGGCGACCGCAGCCTTCTCCTCCGCCGACAGCGCCCCCGACGCTGGAGCCGACGCCAGAGCCGACACCCGAGCCGACATACGCGTATGACGGTCCAGGAGTCCCTTGCTCGTGTCACGTGCCGGCCTGCTTCCATCAATACGACATGAACAGTGATGGTTGCCTCACCCAGAACGAGTGTGACCTGCACATGCCCATCTTGGAATACTGTTTCATGGTACCCGCAACTTGCGGGCCAGAGAAGTGGGACTTGGATGATGACGCTTGCATCAACCTGACAGAGTTCGAAAGGGTTTACGCGGTGAATCAAACAGTTTGCCCAGTGGAGGTTCCCGAGCCGTGCGACGAGTGCCCTCAGGGCAAGTACATCGTTCCGAACCCCTGCGAGTGCGTCGACTGCGCTGGCGAAACGCGCAGGCGCCGCTCCACAGAGTGCACTTCCTGCCCGGCTCCCCTCGTGCCCTGCCAGAACCCTGACGCAGACGACTGTTGCGATCCTATGGTCCCTTATGCACCCTCATACGTCCCAAACAAAACCACCAACATTACTGTGCACGTTCCATATCAAACGTGTACTGAGTTCTCACTGGGCGACAGTATCACGATCTCTGGAAGATTATCGAGCGACCCGTCTACTGTGGTCACGCACACAACAGTGGTCATTGGGATTACTCCGATTACTGGGGGATACGAACTCGATTTCAACGACCCGCTCCCTGGAAACTTTCAATATGACACGACGGTTCAGCAGACTTGCACATCCACTGACGGGACTCAGGTGAGCGGCTCATTTTCTCCCTCCGCTGGTGGTTGTTGCTGCGCATGCGGCACTGACTGCTGCGAGACCACCGAGGTGTGCACTCTTTACCCCAACGGCACCGGCGAGTGCTCCAATGCTGGCCCGTATCCCGAATTCTCGACTCCAGCCCCGACCGTCGGGGCCAAGGGCGACCCGCACCTCGTCAACCTTCAAGGAGAACACTTCGACATCAATCACGAAGGCACGTTCGCACTGCTCCGTTTCCCGCAGGCTGCCGAGAAGCCGGCCGAGTTCTCGCTGCAAGCAACCGTCCAGCCGGATGCAGGGAAGCCGTGCACCACGTACATTACGCACGTGGAGATCTCGGGCGCCTGGCTCGGCGGCAGGTCTGTGGAGATTCGCTGCTACCGCAAGTCCAACTCGAGTGGCACCGACGCTTTCCTCGGCGCCCGTCTGCTCGAGGGCAAGGGTGACTCCCCCTGGCAGTCTATCGAGGAGTTCGAGTCGAAGGACCTCGTGCTCTCCGACTCGGAGTCGGACGTCGAGGTTTCGATGGACAAGGCGATGTGGTTCCCCAAGAAGCGCTCAAAGGCGGGGCCCACTGCGGCTGGTATGTTCACCCTCTCTCTGCGCAACAAGAAGAGCCCGATTGGCGCCAAGATCACCATGCGCCAGGACTTGCCCGAGCAGGAGCACCTCAACGTGGCAGTGCGGCAGCTGTCCCAACTGGGCCGCGTGGATGTCGGCGGCCTCCTCGGCTTCGACGCACACCCAGAGAGCCTGGAGCGCCCCTCTGCCGCGTGCGTCCATCACAGGGCCACGGCGCGCTACCGCATCGAGAGCCAGGACGACGTGGACCACGGCTACTACTTCCGGCCTGCGTGGAAGGACCGTTGGGACAAGGTTCGCGCAGAGCGCTCGCGTGACAACGAGGCGGCCGCCAGTCTCCTGGGCAGATTTGACGGCAGCGAAGCCCTGGGCGGCAAGATGTGCAAGTGCCCGAGCGATCCACACGGTGGCCCCGAGGGATCAGAACCAGCATCAGTGGTATAAAAAGGGACGGAGTAATCGATTTGGACGCCCGAAATGGGTACGGAAAGAATGGGTACAATGCCCAACAGCAGTTCCTGTTCATTTTGAACAGGGCTCGCTGTCCGCGCCGCCGCGGCCTGTGTCCATTCGAGACAGAAGGCCGCCTGCCCAACAGCGGCCGCTGTTGGTTTGGGACAGCATTTGTTGTTGGGCATTGTACCCACTCTTTCCGTACCCATTCCGGGCCTCCCAAATCGAGCAGGCTTCGAACTCGCACCGCATCGCCGATGTATCGCCGATTTGCCAGCCCGTACCGCGATGCCGACGAATGGGCTTTTGGATTGGACGTGGGGTGCGGTCTCCGCGCCTCGCGCCCTCCGGGCCTCGTCTGCCTCCCCGTCCAGCTCGCTCTCGCCGTCCATCTCCTGCTTCTCTTCTTCTCCTTCGTCCTTCTTCTCCGTCGTCCTCCGTCCCTTCCCTGCTCTTGCTCCTTCCTCCACTCTTCTTCGTCATCCTTCGTCCCTGCACTCTTCTCAACGCCCTCGTCCTCGCCTTCCTCCCCCCGACTTCTCCCCTCGCTCCTGGCACATGGTGGTTGCCGAGCCCCCACGGGCAGCGCCACAGGCAGCCTCGAGGGAGTGCTCGTGGAGGAGGCGAGCTTCATGTTCGCCAAGGACCAGGGGCAGCAACCTGCTGCAGCCCCCACCCAGGGGCAACGGTAGGGGGGGATAGGCATAGGGGGGGATGCATCGACCCCCAATCGCCCACTGATCGCCGATAGGGGCCCGATAGCCCCAGCCTGCCCAGGAAGGTGCGGACTCGCTGTCGGGGGCCCATCGCCGATCTGTCGGCGATGTATCGCCGATTCCAGGTCGATGCATCCCACCCTGTGCCAGTCCCCCCCCCATCGTTGCCCCCCATGCAGCACCCCCCCTCCGCAGTGTCACGAGAACAATCCTACTCCTCCTCTGTCGCCCGAGCCTATCCGGGCGTGCCGGCGCCTCTCTCCTTGCGTCTGGCCACTCGCACATGATCTCATGGGTCGTTCTGTCCACAGCTCCTCCTCTTCCTCCTCCTCCTCCTCCTCCTCCTCCTCCTCCTCCTCCTACTCCTCCTCCCTCCTCCCTCCCTCCCTCCCTCCCTCCCTCCCTCCTCCCTCCTCCTCTTCCTCCCTCCTCCTCTTCCTCCCTCCTCCTCCTCCTCCTCCTCCTCCTCCTCCTCCTCCTCTGCCTCCTCCTCCTCCTCCTCCGCCGCCTCTTCCTCCTCCTCCTCCTCCGCCTCCTCCTCCTCGCACAGCTCCTCGCCCACTCACCCGCTCTCCCCCCACATGGGCAGCCCCGGTGAATCAGCGGATGCAGAGGTCGCCATCGGATGAGGCACCGATTGTAAACCAACTGATAGTTCAGGAGAGCCAGGCGCAACAGTGCGCCAGGCACCCAAGCGGGGTACAGTGGGGGCCCATGCCTTGAAACACCCTGCTTGCCTCCAGGGGGCCCGGGGTTCTTGGGTTTCGATAGTTTTGCGATGGAAATCGTGACGTTCCCACACCAGCAATCAATGGACGCCCTGGGGTCTCAGGGTTGGGTTTCTTGTGGAAGGTTTCTTGTGGACGGGCCTTCGCTGTATGCACGCCTGGTGCCCAGGTGGGCCACGTGCTCCACGTGCGCTGGGTGTGTCGCGTGCTCCAGCCTCGCCACTGGTGCCGCGTGCGGGACGCGCGCACAGTGCACCAGGCGCGCCCGTGCACGCGAAAGGCCCGCAATCGGGCAGTATGTCGACCCCCCCCAACTTTGCCAGCCAATGCAGAGTTGCGGCGGGGGGATCGGTATCGTGTGCGGTGTGCGCCCGCAGCCAATCTGCACTGTCTCTTACAGGTCGTGGGCCACCCACGGCGGATGAAGACGATGCCACCCCCACCTTCCCTCAAAACCTTGTGGGGGATCCTGGGCGTAGCCTCTCGGGCACTCTTGGGAGCGTCTCATCCCTATCTTTCCGAATGCCTCTTCCATTTTCGGGGTCGTCGTCCGGGGTCGGCGGCACAGGCCGTAAGGCCTTAGCAGTATGATCCCACCTCCACCTTCCTGTCGAACTCAAATCTAGATGGTCGCGGGCTGCCTACTCATGATCCATATTCTGCTGCCACGTGCACTTGTTTTTTTCTTGCCAGGGATGGTGGGGGCGCTCGCACGGTTCCCGTTTGTCCGCTGGTCGAGAGGGGAAAGGAGTGCTTTATCAGTCCAGAGCAGCAGCAAGCCCAGCCTGGATGGAGAAGAAGGGGGATGTGTCGACTATCTCTCCAAGTCACCCGCGCTTTCAGGGCTGGTGAAATCATGATGTTGCTTTGCATATTCGGGAGATCTTGCCTGTCCTAGACATCTCTTTTTGGTACGCCGTCGTGGACTTGAAGCGGGCTCGACGTGCATTCGGAATCGATTCGACGTGGCTTCGACGTGCTCGACATGTATTCAGCGCGGACTCGACGCGGATGGCGGCTCGGTGGGACAGGCGAGGTCTCTCGAGGGTGCAACGTAAAGAATGCCAGGCTCATGCGTAGGTGCTTTTGCTCCGCGCAGGCATCCTGGGAGTAGGCTCGCACCGAGAGCCGCGTCACTTTTGACCTGCCCTTTTGCTGCCGACGGGGCTGTGGCATATATATCCATCGGTCGTTGAAAGTAGGAATTTGTGGATTCCCAGCTTCCAATCTACTTTAAGCGCCTTCCTACTTCAATGATCGAGTGGCTTCACCTTTTCCGTCCTCCCAAGGGGGCGGACGGAACGCAATTGACTTTCAATGCCTTCTTACTTAATGTTTCTACCTACTTCTTCCGACCGAGGGGTACAATACACATACGTTCTGTAGCAAATCACGGGAGCCTGGCATAACCTCTTAATTCCGTCTTTCGCGTCGAGTAGCGTTGATTAGCGTCTGGGAATCGATGATTTGTGCCGGTTTAGCGTTGGCCAGCGTCGATCAGCGTCGATTTAGCGTCGATTCAGCGTCGATGAGCGTCGATTCGCAAGAGCCGACAAGATGTTATGGGAGGATCCCATGAGTTGCCACCGAACATACGCACGCCAGTCGCATCAAGCCATCTTTTTGTGGCAGGCTCGCGCCGCGTTGACGCTGTGACGACCCCAGCGCGATCGTTCAAGATCGAACCCCGCCAGTGGCCTGGAGTCGGCTGACATCGACAGGTCTGCTATTCGGAATGCCATGTCTCAGC